TGAACCGCTGACCATGCTGAAGCAGAATCTCGCGATTCTGGGAAACTGATGTGCAAGCATTCTTATCTTCATGGGAAGAATACTTTTGTAATTCAGTTATAATTTTGCTCTCATACTGTTAACATCAATTTCTGTCAATAAAATTAATTTTTAAAAAAAGGACTTTGACATCCGAAAGTTATATTTACTGTAATATCTCGGTGAATACTAATTGAATTCAATCGAAATAGGAGCCATTTGAATTAGTGCACTTTTGACAACGTAACAGAAGTCGATTAATTACGTCAGCATAAGAAATGGGTACTCGGGATTCAATGAAGTCGATGAAGGCCTGGTCGTGATTGGCGAAAGTTCTACTAGTGCGACAATTATCCAAGTGCTTGAAAAGATAATAGTCGGTTTACGAGACATCTGGGAAGAATGGTAGGTTAAGCAGAACTTCGACGCCCAATTCGTTTAATTTTGTGAAAGGTGCGGACGGGCGTTGTCGTGGAACAGATTTGACCTCTTCTGTTAACCAGTGCTGGCTGTTGTTGACGCAATTCCTCACAATATAACTCTACTTTATGGTTTGGCCCGGTTGCAGAAAGTAATACTGAATACACCAGCAGCTGACCACCATACAGTGTCTGGGTAGCTTATCGGTCTCCAACCACTGTCCTAAACGTCTCCTGTTGTAGGGGATTCACTTTTCATCACATGTGACAATACGATCCAGAATAGGATCGATTTAGTTGCGCAAAAGCAAAGAAGAACAGACATCGAAACGTGACAATTTCTGTCGATAATTAAAATCGTGGGATACCCACTTTTCGAGCTTTTTGACTTTTCAATATGTTTTAAACCATCAAAACCGAATGGGAACTGACGCCCAGTTCTTTCGCCATCAATCAGTAAATACCACGACATAGTAGAATGAATTTTTAATGAGATATGGAGTTACAGAATCACATGTCCTTGAAACGGACAAAACTTTTAGAAAAACCTAACGTATAATGGCGAATAATTCTTCAACTGTATTGCATGGAAAATTTTATTTTATATTTATAGAAAGGCACTCTATATCGAAAGTCAGTAATGTTTGGTGAACATAGTATCTATAATTTGGAGTAAGTGGTGAAGTCTTCGTTCTTTTATTTCTCCCTCTTTCCAGAAGACAACATGTGATCAAACCAAATAACTTCAACTCCTGTTCAATCTGTAACTTGACATGAAATGTATCAACTCATCGCAAATAACGAATAATAAAGGTGATATAAATTGTTCTCATCCGAACTTGCATCCTAATAACTAAATTCATTCAATACTGCATGTACTAGATGAATGTATGTGTACATAGTAACATGCTGTTCTCAAAACTTCAAATTCAACTGGAATGTGTCGATATTACCCTTTTTGCACTGAGCAAAATGAGTCAGTAGTTATTTTTTTTAAATTTTACTGTAACAAAACATTTTTTGACAGAAAAATATTATTGAATTCAAATGATATTATCACCTTAACTAGATACTAAATAACACTAACAGAACACTAAATGAATCATTACACTTGAATGTCATCACTTTTTGTATCACTCTGTGAATCGAATCCACTCCCCATATTCAAAGCCTCTTCCACCAATTCAGGGCTAACAAAACCAGTACTTCTTCTGTTGGATAGTCTGTTTTTCGATCTACNTAAAATTTCACGATATTCTACTCATGAGATTCTGAGTTATTGTAACTAAGAGTGACACTACTTTTGTTATTCTCAAAATAATGGACATTTTCGTGTTTTAATTTTACACTGATTCTTAATGGGAAAAATACCGTTCAAGCAAAGCAATGGCTCCATCAGCAACACCAATTTAACGTTGGTTTGCTGACATCAAACGTGATCCATAAAAAACCACAAAATCTTTTTGAATGATCGAAAAGTAAAGTTTGGCAAGTTAGCTGACATTGAGAAGATGTCAAAAGAATGCATGAGCAATTAATTATGAGAAAGCTTTGTTGAAAGTGGGTGCTGCGCGAGCTCACTGTTGACCAAAAACAAGAACTTCTTGATATTTCTGAGCAGTGTTTGGCCGTGTTTAAACACATTAAACCGGAATTTTTGCGTCGATATGCGACAATGGATGGAACATGTATCCGTCACTTCACTCCGGTATCAAAACGATCGTCATATGAGTGTAGAGCAACTAGTGAACCCCCTCCATCAAGACAATGTACCGTCCCCCAAGTCAATCAAAACAATGGCAAAACTGCATGAATTTAACTTAGAATTGCTCCCACATCCACCGTATTCGCCAGATTTGGTTCCCAGCGACTATTGACTGTTCGCAAACCTCAAAAAAAAATGGTCACCGGTGGGAAATTTTGCTCGAATGAAAAGGTTATTGCTGAAACTGAGGTCTAAAGTGGTATTGGAATGTTTTAACGGCCGTGGAGTACGTGGGAGTACGTTGATGAATAAAGCTGATTTTGAACAAGATAAAAACGCTTTTTCTCTCTAAGGTCCGGAACTTTTCAGCCCATGTGCTGAATTCTTTACATAGATGTGTATNATCAGTATATATTTTCCGTATACTTTGCAGGGAACTTAAAGAGTCTGTTAAAATTAACGTTTCTTTGGATTTCTTCATCAGCAGAAAACTTAATTGCTTGAAGGATTGCAAAAAAGTCACCACTATAAAGGCTGCAATATTGGGATAGTTTGAAGCCACTTGATGTATTCGGGCTCAGAAAGGCTGATGCTACTCCATCATTTGATTATTTGGAAGCATCTGTAGATAGATATGTTTGTATTCTTGATATTTACTCAGTGATGAGTGGAAGTGATTGTAGAGCAGACTGGGAGTGATTTCAGATTTATTGAATTTGGTGAGGTATAAGTTGCATGATGGCAGTGCAACGAGCCAGTGGGGGTGTCAGAGGCTTTGTTGGAGAGGGTTAATGGAAAGTCAACGTTCAACTCGGAGCTGAAATTGTTAATTCTTTGATAAAAATAATGTGATATTCTGCTTCGGGTTTCATATAGGTTTCAGAAACGGTTTGAGAATGTATTATGGTAAACAGGATGCTGGTTGTCAGCAGCCGAAACTGTTGATGCATATGCTTAGCTCAAATCCTTTTGTTGAAATTCCAACGGTGACTCTCCAGATTCGCTGTGAAGACTTTCAGTAGGCGTTGCCCTGTATGCCCCTAGGGCTAGTTTCCTTTCGGTATCATGAACTGTGTCAACAATTTTCAGGGCTTATCTAGTTGCTGAGGCGTATTATATTATAGAGCCGTAATCGAGTTTACTCCTTACTAGAGTTCTATAGAGAAGTAAGAGCGTTTGACTGTCGGAACCCCAATTATGGTTTGAGAGAATTCTCAGTAGATTTATACCGCGTTGACATGATGATCTGAGGTGATTCAAGTGGGCATTGCAGCTCAACTTGCTGTCGAAAATCATTCCTAAGTAACAAATTTGTTCAACTACTTGGATATTCTGATCGCATAGCTTCAATTTGGGATGGAGAGGGAAAAAGAACTTCATTAATCTTTAGTTTTTTCTGGGCACATTATGGTACCAGTACATTTCAATCAGCTCTCAGTTGAGAGCACTGCCTCTTATAGGTTATTCTGAATTGTTGTGATTTTTTTTTCCGTGACTATATGATCAGATCATCTGCATAAGGGCTAGCTTCCAGGGGCTGACTGATATTTTTGACAGCTTTATTTATTGCTATCAGGAAGAGGGTGACACTCAAAACTGAACCTTGAGGCACGCCATTTTCTTGTATTCTTATTCCGAAAAGTGTTCCATTAACTTTAACTCTGAAGGATCCTCTTCCAATGAAGTTTCCAAAAAATCTCAGATTTCCATTCATATCCAGGAGCTCAACTTTCTGATGATATTACCTATATCTCCAAATGATGTCATAGACTATACTTATATCAAAGAAGATTGCAATGGAATTCTGTTTGTTGGTAAACCCTTACTGGATATTAAGGTTTTACTTATTATTTCCAATTATATGGTTATTTAAGTATTGTTTTTGTTATACATCAAGTAAGTGGTCTGCATCTTATGAATAACTCCTAATGAATTTGTGAAAATAGAATTTGTAAGTACGTTATCAAATCGTACATTCCTAATATTAATGGAGGCCTTGACTAGCAATTGCTGCTCAAAGGAGACCCAGTCGCACTTGTTGTTGACCTGTCACTGAGGCTAAACAATTTCTGCAATGTAGCGGATAGTACCGTCTCCCAATCCGTACGATACGTGAATATTGGGCCGCCTAATATTGAGGTAGTTGTGAAATAATATGTAATCCGCCATTTTGTAGCTGAGGACATCTTGGATTTACAATAATAGAGAATTTACTGAATTGTATTGTCTTCAAAACTAAATGTGTGTACTAAATATCAGATCAATCTGTCAACAGGAAAGGGGTTGACCCAAACATACATGGCAAGCTAAATAAAACCGTTTGAAAGCAACGTGACATTCCCAAATATTCCAGAATTGCTAATTTCAAGTTCAATATGGAGGGTCTGCATTTGCGCTTCCCCGGGACTACATTCCAAGAATCTTCAAAAGACGGATTTGTTGAAATTAACGAATAATTTCCGAAAACTTTTATTAGATATTCTCAAGTAGAATTATCGCTAAAAGATTAGTCACATATTGAATAATAAACAAAAATCAAATCTGAATATTGAATGAGGTGATCTACGAAAGTACAGGGCAAATCTTCTCCCAATAGAGATCATGAAGAAAGGTGGAAAAATTAAAACACACTAAAACGCTGGGGGGTCAATGTGGCAGTAACGCTTGTGATATGATTTGAAGGCAAAGTATGTATACTGACTATATAAACAAGCATTGCGATCGTCATTTATTGAAAAAAATTTGTTGACCTACGACGATTCAGTTTGAAATTCTACTATAAAATGGAAAAAAAAAAACGTAATTGAACTTTAAGAATGTAGTGTTTGTGTTCTGTTCTTGAAAAAATCCATGGTCAGGTTGACGAAATCAAGAAGTTCAACATGTTTGCTAGTGCTTCCCTTTAAGAGAAGTCTATGGAAACCAGAATCATATATCGCTGTTTTTGAATGAATACCTAATTTGCACAAAACGTGAGAAAATCATCATTGACATTCAATTTTACTAGGTGTTGGAAAGCCACCGGTACTTCTACCAAGAAACATTATTTTTTTTTACTTCAATATGTCAAATATATTGAGCTGACTCTTCTCCAAAATTCGCCTATTCCACTAAGCTATTTAAAAAGTGTTTTCAATTTGCCCTAGCATTTTGGAAAATTTCTACTTTATTTATGGACCATTGAATGTGGTTGTTTGAAGAAAACAAGGAACCCGCATTTTTTGTTAAAGACTGCAGATATCGCCTCTGACCTGAGGAATAGGAAACTGAAAGGAGGAAGATATACAAAATAATTCAAACAACGTCCAATATCTTCATTTCATTTTGAATCAAATACTCGTAGAAACAATGTGTCATTGTAATTAGCACTACTGAAGAATTTCTCTCTGAAGAACGAATTCATTATTATTATATTTAGACACCACAAAAGTAGACCCAAAAAAAACAGATATATGTTTGAACTTCCTTTGAAGCGAATTAAAGTTGTCAAGGTATATGTAGTTTTTAAATCATCGATAAAAATATGAAATAAATTTGAGAAAGAAAGGATTTTTCGCATTCTACTTCCTCATCTTCATTCAAAAAATATGGGAATATTTCAAAGAAAAGAAGAAAATCAATTAATTTTAAAATACTACAGGGGTTGCAAACTCTCGGGCCTAACACATTTATGGCGCTAGTCTTATTGCATTTATCGTTTTTTCAGTTGGTCCTAACCTTCAAAATAAAGATGTTAAAATTTCACGATATTCTACTCATGAGATTCTGAGTTATTGTAACTAAGAGTGACACTACTTTTGTTATTCNCTTCCGTGTATTTCAATATTTGAATGAAAGTAAGTGTTTCAGAAGGGCTTTTTATCCAGTTCGTGTCTGAAAGTTACTTCTTTGCATGATCTACACATCTATGTATAGAGTCACTTCTTTTAAAATTGATTAATTCCTTCCTTTCTTTGGAAGATTTCCACATTTTTTTGTATCTAGATGGAGTAGTCGAAAGCCAAAAACTTTCTCTCCCAAAAAGTACTCTTTCTTGCTCTTGAATGGTTGGTTTATTGATGGTTTCTCGTGCGATTTTTGTTTGCAAGAAATCCCGACATATGACAGTACCCACAAGAATTGTAGCTTTCTGGACGCTCCCGTAAATGAGTAAGTATACTCTTTGATGGATCATGTCAGCGGGTGATCAGTATATATTTTCCGTATACTTTGCAGGGAACTTAAAGAGTCTGTTAAAACTAACGTTTTTTTGGATTTCTTCATCAGCAGAAAATTTAATTGCTTGAAGGATTGCAAAAAGTTCACCACTATAAACGCTGCAATATTGGGATAGTTTGAAGCCACTTGATGTATTCGGGCTCAGAAAGGCTGATGCTACTCCATCATTTGATTATTTGGAAGCATCTGTAGATAGATATGTTTGTATTCTTGATATTTACTCAGTGATGAGTGGAAGTGATTGTAGAGCAGACTGGGAGTGATTTCAGATTTATTGAATTTGGTGAGGTATAAGTTGCATGATGGCAGTGCAACGAGCCAGTGGGGGTGTCAGAGGCTTTGTTGGAGAGGGTTAATGGAAAGTCAACGTTCAACTCGGAGCTGAAATTGTTAATTCTTTGATAAAAATAATGTGATATTCTGCTTCGGGTTTCATACAGGTTTCAGAAACGGTTTGAGAATGTATTATGGTAAACAGGATGCTGGTTGTCAGCAGCCGAAACTGTTGATGCATATGCTTAGCTCAAATCCTTTTGTTGAAATTCCAACGGTGACTCTCCAGATTCGCTCAATGGAATTCTGTTTGTTGGTAAAGCCTTTCTGGTTATTCAAGTTTTACTTATTATTTCCAATTATATGGTTATTTAAGTATTGTTTTTGTTATACATCAAGTAAGTGGTCTTCATCTTATCAATAACTCCTAAAGAATTTGTAAAAATAGAATTTGTCAGTACGTTATCAAATCGTACATTCTTAATATTAGTGGAGGCCTTCAAATGTCACAAACAGCACTTCTTGCTGACCTATCACTGAGGCTAAACAATTTCTGCAATGTAGCCGATAGTACCGTTTTCCAATCTTTACGATACGTGAATATTGGGCCGCCAAATATTGAGGTTTTTTTGAAATAATATGTAAATCGCCATTTTGTAGCTGAGGCCATCTTGGATTTACAATAATACAGAATTTATTGAATTGTATTGTCATCAAAACTAAATGTGTGTACTGAATATCAGATCAATCAACAGGAAAGGGGTTGACCCAAACATATATGGCAAGCTAAATAAAACCGTTTAAAAGCAACGTGACATCCCCAAATATTCCAGAATTGCTAATTTCAAGTTCAATATGGAGAGTCTGCATTTGCGCTTCCCCGGAACTACATTCCAAGAATCTTCAAAAGACAGATTTGTTGAGAAAAATTTGGAATATGTGAACTGAAATTAACGAATAATTTCCGAAAACTTTTATTAGATATTCTCAAGTAGAATTATAGCTAAAAGATTAGTCACGTATTGAATAATAAACAAAAAGTCAAATCTAAAAATTATCTATCGGATGCTATTGTACATAGTTAACAATTGTAAAAGAATGATGATATTGTGCTTAATTCATACTTACTTATGGTTATTTCTCATTTTCACAGGAGGATGTTCATCAGGATTATAACCGTTCGGAATTTCATTCTGATTTCGGTAACTTTCTTTAGAGTCTGAATGTTCGTGCTGGATTCTGAAAATAGAAGGAACATTTACTATTATGATATAAGTGAACAAGTAGTTGAATGGAACAGTAATATTTCAGTAACTGAACTGAACACTTCTCGACAACCGACTACCATCTTTTCAAAAACTTTTCACCGGAGGAAACTTAACCAATCAGGACTAGACAAAAATGGCCTTCATTGACTTCATCGAATCTCGAGCACCCAATTTTCATGTCGACGGAATTTACCGTTGAAAAAAATGACATGATTCAAATGGCACCCATTTGGATTTAATTGGATAAGTATTTACTGAGATAGTACAGTTTAAATTGGACTCATAACAACGGACAAAACTTTTGGAACAACCTAAATCAAATTGCCCATTGCTGACGAAAATGATTATGTTCTTTGATAATTTCGTATTTACTTATTTCTCATAGAGGTAGATGTTCAGCGTCAAACAAGCGGTATTCTAGAAGAATTCTGTTCTAGAAAAAATATAGTGAGGTTAAAAAAAGTTCTAAGGATAATATCAATAAAAAGCTTTCATTACGGATAAAGATGTTGATCAGTAGACTGAATCAGCAGTTGAATAAGAATGGAATGTTACAAAAGATCAGTTGATCACCTAGAAATGATTCATTGTATTGATTCATCTAAATCTCTCAAATATTTAGAATGCGATTAATCACATTAAAAGTAATCTAAAAAAATATTTACTATTTTAAAACGCATACCTGAACGCCTTCATTCAACGAAAATGAGTTATCACTTCAATTGCATGTTAATGTTTGTAGTTTTTCAAATTGAATTTTTTTTCCGGTTATGAATTATTGTTATCATTCATAATATATAATTGGATGCGAGGGGTCAGGTGATTAAAAATAGATCAGAAAGAACAATTTATCCAAGCTGGTAGGACGGGGTCAAAAACACCTTGTGGTAACAAAAGTTTCATCTGCCATTATGGCAGACATCGTCAGTGACGTGAGCGTTTACTGCTGGATGAAGATAATATTTCAAAGTCTCAGGAGTCATTGCAAGAGCTTGAAACATCCAGAAACACGTGATTTTTCACACTACGGTTAACTTCGACCAAAAATGACCCGGGTAGTAGGGCTTTCAATTGTGACAGACAGACAAATTCAATTTTTCATAACTATAGATCCGATCATCCTTTTCATAAACATTATCGCTGAATCGGTACTCAACAAGTGTGCCAACTTTAAATGTACTGCATGTGTGCTTATATAAGTAAATCATGCACTGCACCTTTTTTCTTGACGACGACCAATTGATACAACCAAAGGTCGGTTATGGCGAAAGGCCTAACAAATGAAATCAATCAAAATATTTTCAGTGGAGGTATCCGGAAACTTCAAGCTTTGTTTTTCCTTTTTTGTGAAACTGACATTTGCACCAACAACTTCAGCTAGCTGTCCTCAATTTTGATAATTCGGGTTTTTCTTCAATTCTCTCATGGTGCAATTTGTATTATCATACCCTTTCTGCAATTCATACATTCTCGATGGATATGAATCTAGTTATGGCGGACAATTACTTTTCTAGAAGTTTAAAATAATCCGTTTTTCACAACACTCCAGTCTCCCACTTGTTGAGCCAATTATACTTGTAATTTGTTCGAAGATCAGTTTAGCCCGATTATCCTCTGAATTCTGCTTTTTCTGTAATATTTCATTCCCATTGCATCAAACTTACCTAAATTTTCATATCAATTGTTGCCCAAAAAGAGACTTCATAATCCACTCTAACCAAATAGTTTTTCCGGTATTCACATATAAAACCCATCCCAGTTGTCTTGGCCAGAGTAGGATTATTCTCTCTTTCTTTTCTCATAGACTTCTCTGGTAATGATCAAATGTATGTTGCCTCCGATTGGGAATCGGATATTTATATTTTTGTGGAAAAAGTGGGAATCTTCGCATACTTTTTTTATATCAAGAGACTGAACTGGGAGTAACAGTTGTTTCACTGTTCTAACATATTCGGAAAGATATATTATTTCTTCATTTTGGCTACGGATTTTCCAGAGAATCATCAATCATTCTGATTGTAGAAGTTTCATCAACAGTGCAAACGTATTCGCTGTACCACCGGAAGTATTCAATTCGAATGTTGCGTTCTCAGAAGAACTATACTCTTCTTGACAATTGATGATGATTTACCTGCTCTTCTTCGTTTAAGGTTTCGTTGATTCGGTTTCGAAGATTCATTGATCGTTTGTTCAAAAATAAATTATGTTTGAACAAACGATTGTTGGTTCCGTTTTACTTTTGCAAAACTTTGTTTGATGAGATATGTTTAGACATGTATAACACTGTTTGATAGTTCTTGCCCAATCCCAACGTTTATCAGTATTCAGTTTTTTCAAAGAAGAACAGTTTTTCACTTTGCAGGAACAATAACATAAATTACCCCAATTCTATTCTTCAGTCATCGAGAAAATTCTAATATTTCCATTTTCTTCTTTTATTCAGTCGATTCTTCTTTTCCATTCCATTAGCAGGTTTGGAATGTGTTTTTTTCATAATGTCGTGCTGAAGTTGGGAATTGGTTAGTTACTATTTGCATTTCAGTCTTTCAACTGTCTGATTTCTGCTAGACAAGTCCAATATATTTCCCATTTTTTTCTGCAGGTCTGAAATTATTCTGAGTCTATTACATCTTGAATTATGATTTGCAGCCTACCATGGCTTTTATCCAAACTATTACCTTTTCGACTTTTTTGGTGAATTTAATTTTCATTTTGAGTCTTGATAGTTAAACTATTTTTTTACAAAAAATGTTTAACTGGTAACTGTTTCCATTTCATCAGCAAGTGCGAAGTCTTTGGAATCTAATATTTACAATCTAGAACTTTTAGTATGGTTTCTCTCCTCTCCATTTTCGTTACGATTCATTTACTTTCTTCAGCTCAATTTCTGATTCTCAGAATTTTCTTGAACATCTGTAGGTGATTTTATTATTCATTAATTTTTTTTCAATATTTTCATCTTCTGAAAACAAATGTTCTTCAATATCTGTCACATGAAGTAGTTGTTTAATGTGATGAATTATGATGAACATTCATTATAATTCATGAGAATATATTATTTACAGAAGAGATTGGTTTTTGAGGAAAAAACGTTTTGGCTTTCACTTCTCCATCTTAATATGAATAATTGTGTGACACTTCCATGTATTATATGGTGTAGCTAATAGATATTCATATGAAAGACTTGTTTCGAAAGTATAACAATTCGATGTTCATTTGGAAGTAGTTGTTTCGGGGAGCGGTTTTTTTATGAGGGCCAAAAACTTCCATTTTAATGAACATTGACTCCTCTACAAAAATGTCTTTCAAAGTATGGAAAATATGTCAATATTTCAAATCTTTTTTTCATCCGAATTCACAATACTGTTCAACTCTCTTCGACGCGCTTTTCAACAACCAAGTTGGCGTTGAGTTAACGGTTTACCTAACTACAAATATCTAGAAGTAAAGAATCATAACAGAATTTTGATACTTAAGTCTACTGAAGATGTTAAATATTCCGGGATAAAAATCAACAGTCCTTTACGTTGGGATTATCATATAGATAATGTCACTAATACTCTGAGAACTTCTCTTGGGAGATTCAGATATATGAGAAGTGAGACAAATTTGGATTTTTCAGGGCTGATATTTTTCCAGGAAAAAGGTGTCCCTCTAGTAATTTAGAGGCTCTGATGACTAATCTGAAGTAATTTTCAACCGGTTTTTGAAAATATGTCAATATTTCAAATCTTTTTTTCATCCGAATTCACAATACTGTTCAACTCTCTTCGACGCGCGTTTCAACAACCAAGTTGGCGTCATCAGGAGACGAAATAAACTTTCTTTTCATGTTATCTCATTGGTTACTGAAGAAATTTCTATGCGATAAAAAATCACAGACCTGTATTCCTTGATCTTGCAAAAGCCTTCGTAACTGTGGACCATACTTAGCTGTTCAAGATGTAGGAGTTCGTGGAAATGTCTAGAGCATATCTGAAATGCTTGAAAAACCGCCGGCATTACATAAAAGTAGAGCAAGGGAAAGGTAGTACAGTGTGGAGTTCCACAAGGGACGGTTTTGTAACCGATACTATTTATTATTCACATCAATAACTTACTAACTTGACAAACCTCTGACAAAATAGTGAGTTTTGATGACGATACTGTCATTTTTCATTCCGATGAGACACGGAATGTCCTCAAACTTGAAATTGGACAAGATTCAAATACCATCATCGACTGGTTCAACCATGAATTATTAACTATCAATTTTCATGAAACTATGGTTTTGCCTACCATAAGTTAAGTTAACGGTTTACCTAACTACAAATATCTAGAAGTTAGAATAATAGTTTTAATTTTTTTTCTACGCCGAGGAAATTTTCTGGCTCAGAACTGAATGTGATGATCCCAGTATATGACTGTCATCATGACATTTTACAGAATATTGACATTCGTGTGACTTTGAGTGCTGATGAAATCATGCAGTTTCTATTATGACACCATTGTCACTTGAGCCATTTTGAAATGTTTTACCTGAAAATTTTTATTCTATGCACATTATACAACCAGTTCTCTACTGCTTATGTTTATCCTGTTATTTGTGAAAGATGTAACGGAAAAAGTGAATCCTTGTTTGCGAAAGCTACTACCGAAGAAGAAACCGAGTTTTTCGTCGACATACTAACTAGTATCATTATTCCAATAAATAACGGGTTATGTAATCTCTGGATCAATTTTTTGGAAGTTTATGATTGTCTTACAAGTAGATATTTCAAATCAGAAGTGAATGTCGGATATGTTACGAAACCAAGCTTGAAACAACAAATGTTTTCCTGGTTTGGAGTTCCATATGAAGATGAACCTCAGGTGAAATGTTCTTATTACTCGATAGCCATTGTGAGCGGCTCGTTGCTGTTGATACTGTCCCTACTGTACCTAACTAAGAAATTGATGGACTTTTTCCAATACGATGAATTTTCGGACATT